AAAAAAAAAGAAGTGCCATTATTTTATATGTCACTCAGAAAAAAATTAAATGCTGACAACTAAACTATGATATGCCATCAACGATAAAACCTATCCCCAGTTACAGGAATGTTAAAATATGAAAAAAGTTGTAGTAGCCAGGCGCATGGTGCACGCCTATAATGCAAGCTACTTGGGAGGCTAAGGCAGGAGGATCGCTTGAGCCTGGGAGTTTGAGATACAGCCTGCGCAACACAGTAAAACACCATCCCTCTCACCCCCACCTCCCAAAAAATGGTGCATCTCAAAATTGATATATATGGTACATGGTAGCTCTGTCAGAAGACATTGAGTAGGCTGGGCTTGGTGGTTCACACCTGTAATCCCAGCACTTTGGGAGGCCAAGGCAGGAGGAATATTTGAGGTTAGGAATTCAAGACCAGCCTGGCCAACATGGTAAAACCCCATCTCTACTAAAAATAGTAAAAATTAGCTGGACATGGTGGTGAACGCCTATAATTTCAACTACTTGGGAGGCTGAGGCAAGAGAATTGCTGGAACCTGGTAGGCAGAGCTGCACTCCCGCCTGGGAAACAAAGGAAGATTCCATCTCTAAATAAATAAATAAATAAATAAATACATAAATAAAAGAAGACACTGAGTAGATTCTTTGTTCATTTACCACGAACTGAAATTACTATGAGAGCACGGGCTGCGCCTATTTTTCACCAATATTCCCTGTTATTGTAGATATTAATACTAGTTTGTAGCAGAGGCTCAGTAATTTTTTGAATGAATAAGTAAAAGGACTTAATTCATGCCTAGGGAATAAAGGACACAAAAGACTCACATTTTTAGTACACAGATAAAACTTAAAAAAAAAAATCTACTCTTCACTTAAAAATAGCATTCTTGAAGATATTCCAACTTATAAAACAGCATTCCTGAAGACATTCCAACTTATATTAATTAAAACTTCAAATATTTCTGGCATCTTTGAAACTATGATCTCATGGAAAAACTGCTAACAATTTCAGTCTATAAAAATATTGAAATTATTTACCTTCCTAAAAGGATAAAATCTTGGGCTGAATTAATGAATGAGGTATGAATGAAGGCCAACTCTTTCCTAGTAACAGAGAATCTCACTGTGTTTTGCTTACCTTTAGGAAGGTAGCTCTGAGTTTAGTAACCATGGATGGATTTACCCTTATGCTTTCTTGCATGATAGATGTGAAACTGTAAAAAGAAGAGAGATGGTAAGAAGATGTTCCCAGGGCCTTTCATCTATAGCAAATGTCAGCACTGCCTACATTACCTGTCAATCAACTGCCAAGCAAAAGAAAGGTCCCCAACGATCTGCATCGTGATCAGAACCTCCTCTTTAATGTTAATGGTTCTGATCATTTGATGAAGAAACTTTCGAGTATCGGCAAGAAACTGACATACTTGTAGATTGGATTCCAACTGGTGGAATTCTTGAACCTGTGTTACAGAAATACACTTAATTTAAAAATCCTGAATGGACTCTATGGTGCTCATTTGTTCTTGAAAACACTTCAAATAAAGCACACTACTTCTGACGATTTCAGTATTAATTATATCTCTAAAAATATATAATCATATCAATTAGATAGGGTTATAGATTATGAGTAAAAATAATGTTTTGAATAATAGAGTTGGCCACGTGCGGTGGCTCACGCCTGTAATCCCAGCACTCTGGGAGGCCGAGGCAGGTGGATCACCTGAGGTCAGGAGTTCGAGACCAGCCTGGTTAACATGGTGAAACCCCATCTCTACTAAAAATACAAAATTAGCTGGG